ATCTAAAAATCCATGTAATCATTACCTCTGGGATGACAGCAGAATTTGTGACCACAGTATCAGCTTTGAGTGGTTCGCGACATTTAGCGAGTGCTAAGTGAAGACCACTGTCGTTGTCCTCATTAACAATGTCTACGTTAGCGCCCAATCGGACCAATAGCTCAATGATAGAGCAGTGAGACTGACCGACCGCTAACATCAAAGGGGTTTGCTTTCGATTGTTTTGTATATCAATGTCCGCCTGTCCTTGAATTATAAGCGTCTCAACGATCTGGAAGTGACCGTTAAGAGCGGCCAAATGGAGTGCCGCAAAGCCGTCCTCTTTCTTGCAGTCGACTAATTGTCGCGATTTTGTAATTATCTTTTCGGTCGCAAAATGATTCCCTTTGAGCGCCGAATGGTGTAAAACATTAAAACCCCTTCTATTTCTTAAGCTAAAGTTAATTCCGGGCGAAGATATCAACGAATCAATTATCTCTAGATTCTCTAGTTTTCCAATGGCATCGTGAAGAGCACTGTCACCATAAGAGTCCAATTGATTGCAATTACAACCAAATTTCAAGAGAATGCGAACGCAATCGATATGATTCTTATTGACCGCAATGTGAAGACTCGAACATCGCGTTCGGTTAACGGAGTCGATGTCCGACCCTTTAGTCAATAAGAGTTCCATTATTTGGCTTTGATTACCAAACGCCGCGTAATGGAGAGCAGTGTCTCCCTCTTCGTCGCGAAGATTGATTTCAGCCTTATATTCGAGAAGCAATGACACGATTTCGATGTGCCCCTGATGTGACGCCACCTGAAGCGCTGTTTTGCCCGAACTCTTGTGGTCAACACATTTGGGATATTTGTCGAGAATTAGCTTAACGGCCTCAAGACGTCCCTGCGCTGCCTCTCGGGCTAAGTTGTCTTTATTGATTCGCACCGATGAGGACGCGGCAACACAATTGACAGATAATGGCGTGTCTTCTGTTTGGGAAGCGCTGCCGTGGATGGGCTCGTGTTCCAAGAGATTACCCAAACGAGAATTGGACTCCTCTCGGGTCGGGTGCGAAATCATAGTGTTGTTCATTTCGGTCGCAGAGCCGGGCATTAATGAAACGCATAGCGGATTGA